CCAAAACGGCGGGTCGAACTATTTTCGGCGCGCCCGAACTATAGATCGACCCGCAGAAAAGTATAACCCCCGCATTATAGTTCGACCCCGCACTATAGATCGACCTTGGAGTCTCAAGGCAGAGCGGCCTCCGTCATCGTTTCCGGACAGATCCGGCGGATCCGGTGGATCCGGTGGATCCGCCGACGAATCCCAAACCGGCGCCCTCGCTTGAGACATCCTCACGAAACCGGCCCCGGGGGAGGTGCCCAGAGGAGCCCAGAGCGGCCTCCGGCACCGTTTCCGGACAGATCCCGTGGATCCGGTGGATCCGGTGGATCCGCCGACGAATCCCAAACCGGCGCCCTCGCTTGAGACATCCTCACAAAACCGGCCCCGGGGGAGGTGCCCAGAGGAGCCCAGAGCGGCCTCCGGCACCGTTTCCCGACAGATCCGGTGGATCCGGTGGACCGGCCCCGGGGGAGGTGCCCAGAGGAGCCCAGAGCGGCCTCCGGCACCGTTTCCGGACAGATCCGGTGGATCCGGATCCGCCGACGAATCCCACACCGGCGCCCTCGCTTGAGACATCCTCACAAAACCGGCCCCGGGGGAGGTGCCCAGAGGAGCCCAGAGCGGCCTCCGGCACCGTTTCCGGACAGATCCGCTGGATCCGCTGGATCCGTGGATCCGGTGACGAATCCCAAACCGGCGCCCTCGCTTGAGACATCCTCACAAAACCGGCCCCGGGGGAGGGGAGGAGCCCAGAGCGGCCTCCGGCACCGTTTCCGGACAGATCCGGACAGATCCGGTGGATCCGCCGACGAATCCCAAACCGGCGCCCTCGCTTGAGACATCCTCACAAAACCGGCCCCGGGGGAGGTGCCCAGAGGAGCCCAGAGCGGCCTCCGGCACCGTTTCCGGACAGATCCGGACAGATCCGGTGGATCCGCGCCCCGGGGGAGGTGCCCAGAGGAGGAATGAGGAGGAGGAGGAGGAGGAGGAGGAGGAGGAGGAGGAGGAGGAGAAGATGATGGAGCTGTGGGGTGGAGGAGGACAGACGGAGGCAAGAGAAGGATGGAGGAGGAGGAGGAGGAGGAGGAGGAGGAGGAGGAGGAGGAACCTCATCCTCACCCTCGCCAACAGGCGCACGCACCTTCTTCTATATACAGAAACTCCCGATCAACCGCAGAGCGGCCGGCTAGTAATATGGGGATGACGCGAGACGGTGCCAGCAAGATTCACATTACTTACCCAGCATGGGCGAGAGCTGGATACACATTTGATCGCTGCCCTGTCCAGAGCCTGGCAATCTTGTGCACGGGCACGCTGGCCCTCCGAATGTGCACCCAGCAAATGGCCCCGCAAGTTCCACATGAGAATCAAGCCGTCTCTGGACACCTCCAGAAGTCTCGAGCGGTCCCTTCTCAGAAGGGTCCTCGGAGGCCCCGAAGAGTCCCTCGAGCCCCCTGGATACCTCCAGAGGCCTTTGGTCGCCTCCAGAGCCAAGAAGAGAAACTAACAACAATAAACAAAGCTGCCGTGCGTTCTTTCAGCTTCCTGGAACGAGAAAAACGGAAAAATGAGAAGTCCACGGTGGTGACTGGATTTGGTGGTCATTACCCAGCACTGCGCAGAGCTGGATCAGTGACTCTGGTCACGCGGCTCCCAAACCCGTGTTGGCCAGAGGAGAGCGGAAGGGACTGGCTGACCCCGGAGAGCGCTGGACCCCGATCTGTGCGCCCCGACGCCGACATCCGACGTCGCGATCTGTGCTGCAGTTTGACCCCCCAGAGCTCTGGGACCGGTGTGCTATCTCGAGTCGTCTTTGTCGCCCCCAGGCTCCTGGTGCGGGCGTCTGCGGGCGGCCGAACATTGCCGAACACAGTGCGCCGTGAGTGTGCTCACGACGCCAGAGGGTCTGGCTTGCTTGATTACTCCAGGCTCTGGCGGCCGATCGGGGGACGAGGCAGGCACCCCCAGGCCACTCTCGGCCAGGCGCAGCTGCGTCCCTTCCAGGAACCCACGAGAACGTCTGGCAGCCGTGACTCTCGAGCATCGGGGGCGTCCACGAGGGGGGCGTCCGAAAGGAGGGCTCGCAAATCATGGCCTGAGGCATGTGCGCCGCCCATGGGGAGCGAGGGAAAGATTTGAGAGAAGAAAGAGGGGGCCATGAGACCCCAGGAGACACCATAGACCGAGCCATAATATCACACTCCCCCAGTCATCACCCCCTGGCCGCCCCCGAGAACAGGGCTCGCGGGAGCAGAGGAGGAAGGCAGCAGAGCAGTGGCCAATTCCAACATGGGTCATAACTCAGGTCTCCGGCGGCCAGTCGGGACGACCCAGGCACCCCCAGAGCGCGCAACTGCTGGAACGCACCCCGAGGCAGGACAACCCCCGATGAATCCACGAAAACGGTTTTAGATCCATGAGCCTCGAACGAGGGACCACGCCGCCTCCTCTCAACACAGCCAGCAGGCCTTTGCGGGGCGAGATCCACTATCGGCATGAAGAACGCGGGTCGTCTCACGGTAGAATTGTGGACACTCCCCCTCTCCCGAAAATTCAGAGTTGGCACGGGCGGGAAAGACCGTGGTCGAAGTGCAACTCATTGAACGCACCGCCAACTTTGATCATTGGGGGGAAGGGGGCATTGACAGATGAATGTGGCATGAGTTTTCGCAAATTTCTTCCGAGGCTTGTATGCAGGGAAGGCGTACTGATTTTTGTTCGTTGTCTTCGGCACGGTGTGGACGCGGCCGCAAGAACCCTGGCAATACACCCAACCCTGAAGACCCGCGCGCGAGGTGCGTGTGGGCAGCACCCTGGACGCAGCAGTTTCTGCAACGCACGCGGGAGGTCACCGCGCAGCGCGGGACGCGAAGGAACCCAGAACATACTTGGGCGGGTGGTAATGGGGGTGACCTAAATGGAGGGTGAAAAAAGCCCCTGACCCCAGTACCACCCGCCCGAGAGTATACCCTGACGAACCGAGCAACATCTGGTGTCTTAAAGCGCAGCCCCTCTGTAGGTCGCGCCGGGGCGCGGGCCTGAGCTACCCGCGGCCCGAGCTGTTCGTCGTCTCCTACTGACATCTCCAGGGGTGCGTTCTGATGGGAATTTCGAGGCGAATCCGACCGCGGTGGTGAGCAGCAGATTCGATACCTTTTCCTCTTCCTTGGACGCCCAAACTGGGTACGGACAAAAATTGGTACGGTGCCCAACGGCAACTGTTGTCCCAAACCGACAGCGGCCGCTATCGGGCAGGCGGCCTCTCTCAAATGGACAAACTTTCACGGTGATACCAACAACGAGTCCTGATCAACAAGATCGGAGGTTGGGGGGGGAGATCGAAGTGGAACGGAGAGCCCCCCACCGGGAAATCGGTTTCGGTTTCGTGTTCGTGCGTGCCGTGCGTGCGGGCAAGGCGAAACTGCGTGGGCGGGCGAGAGGGAAGTCTCCTGTGACTGAGGCGCGGCCGGACCAAATGATTCCCCCCCGGCAAACGGAGCCGCGCGGTGTCCCGCCAGTGTCCCGCTGGTGTCCCGGTGAGTCTCCTGTGGCTGAGGCGCGGCCGGACCAAATGTTTCCCGACCGGCAAACGGGGCCGCGCGGTGTCCCGCCGGTGTCCCGCCGGTGCCCCGCTGGTGTCCCGGTGTCCCGCTGGTGCGAAAACGATAGTGAGGCCGATAGTGAGATCGATAGTGAGATCGATTGTGAGATCGATAGTGAAATCGATCGAGTGAGATAGATGGTGAGATCGATTGTGGGATCGATAGTGAGAGCGATAGTGGGATCTATGGTGAGATCGATTGAGTAAGATCGACAGTGATATCGATCGAGTGAGATCGATAGGGAGATCGATAGTGAGATCGATAATGAGATCGATTGAGTGATATCGATAGTGAGATCGATGGAGTGATATCGATAGTGAGATCGATAGTGGGATCGAAAACGAGATCGAGAGTGAGATCGACAGTGAAATCGATCGAGTGAGACCGATAGTGAGATCGATCGAGTGAGATCGATAGTAAGGTCGATAGTGAGATCGATCGTGGGATCGATGGTGCGACCGATAGCTGCCCACTGTTGCCCATTGCTGGCCCCCTCCCCCCCCCAGCCTCCTTATCACCCGCAGGGTGGTCGTATAGGTAGCGGTCTTTGCGCCCGTTCTTTCTGTACGGCCATCGTGCTACCAAAGGGGAACGCACACTGAGGAACGGGGGGGCTCTTCTGCCACGGCGGGCCTGGGCCACAGGGAGGCTCCATGACACAAATATGCGGAAGGGCCCGAACACCCGTGCCCCTCCTGAGCCCAAACCGATCTTTCATTTCAGAGTTGACGACAACGATGACGACGACGACGACGACGACGACGACGACGACGACGAGGACGAGGACGACGACGACGACGACGACGACGACGACGACGACGACGACAACTGCGACGGCGACGAGGACGAGGACGAGGACGACGACGACGAGGACGAGGACGAGGACGACGACGAGGACGAGGACGAGGACGAGGACGACGACGACGACGACGACGACGACGGCGACAACGACGACAACGACGACGGCGACGGCGACGGCGACGGCGCGGGCCGCGGCAGGCCGCGCCAGTGGGACGCGCAGGGGCCCGAGCCTCCGGGGTTGCTACAGGTGCCCTTGGCCCAAGGTGCCCCCAGCTTTCCGCTCGGTTTTGGATCCCCTATGGGGCCCTTTGGGCCTCGCGAGGGCTGCCCTGAAGGTCGCGGGGGCCTCCTTGGAAATCCTTGGGGAAGGAGGAGGAGGAGGAGGAGGAGGAGGAGGAGAAGGAGGAGGAGGAGGGGAGGAGGAGGGAGGAGGAGGAGGAGGAGGAGGCAGGGGGAAGAGGCCAGGGATAAGAGGAGCAGGAGGAGAGGGGCACCCTCGGCCAGGGGCACTTCTGGCAACACCCCATGGAGCGCCCCCCTCCGCGGCGCTCCCCCCGGCGGCGGCCCCCGGGGCCTCGGCGGGGCGGGCGGCGGCGCGGCGCCGTCCTCGCCGTCGGAGCCCCGGTAGCTCTCGAGCAGGCGCAGGACTCGGGCGGAGGGCCGGGCCGCCGCTGGCGCAGCACGCGGCCCAGAGCTCCGAGGAGGGAGCGAGCTCTTTGGGGGACCTCTCGGGGCTCGCCCGGAGGCTTTGCGGTCCGTCTTGGGGCCATCTGGGAGGCGATGGATCAACGAAGGGCGGGTCCCCACTTAGCGCCCGCTAGCATGGGCCCAAAACCTTCGTAAAAACAATGTGCTCTGCCTTTACGCTGAGGCCTTCCTCACGGACGCTCTGCCGACCCGTGAGGCGCCCCCTCCAGACGGCAGGTTCGTGTCGTGCCGACTTCGGCGCTGGTTTCTGACACCGCGCGGATCGTTCAACCTTGAGCGATCGGCCGCTTCCGAAGTGTCAGATCGTTCAACACCGGCCGATTATGGGTCGCCGGCGGCTTTCAACGTTGAACGCTGGCGGCGGGGTCGCCGCCGGTCGACACGACGCGAACCTACCGTACACTGTCCGGCAGCGCCCTCGACGCCACCGCTGGATTCGCCTCGAGATCCTGGTCAGAACGCGACTGGGGAGAGGTCCGGGGAGTAGCGGTATCGGTACCTCGTGGTGTCCCCAAAAACTTTAGCCAAACACTTACGGTGTTGCTCTTCCACGGGAACTTCCGATTGTTTGGCCGAGAACCTTGCACAAAAGCGTCAGCGAAATCCTTCGGCCCAAAACTTTGGCCAAGCACCTGTTCCCGAGGACAGCACAACCCACCCCCACCCCGAGCCAGGAGCCCCGCTCCCGACCTGGTGATCCAGGAAGTTCTGGCTGGGGGTGGGCGTGGCTTTGGGATGTTCTCGGGGGGGCAGAAACCACCCTCACCCACCGCAGGACACGCCTGGATCACCAGGTCGGGAGTGGAGGTGGGTCCTAGCTGACGCTGGCGCTGCGTACGAATCGGCAGCGAGCGAGGGGAGGAACTGAGAAGAAGTCCTTCTCATAAGGTTCGGACGTTCTCTGGCATTCTAAAAAGTTGTCTAAACCTTCCACGAAAACGTAACAAACCTCTCAGAAGGCGCGAGATCTCCTGAGAAGTCCCGCCGCCTTCTGAGAGGGCCTTCTCCTTCTCACTTCCCCCCCCCGCTCGCCGCCGGATGAAGTGTAGTAACATCATATGTTGAGCTGTCCTCTGACCTTGGGGATCTACTGACCCGGGTCAATCCAGACCCCGGGTCAGTCAGGCTTTGCAGGATCCTGCAGGATCCTGCACCCCAAACCGCGTCAGTGCAGCCCTGGCTCTGCAGGATGCTGCGAGCAGAAGCAACGGCGCTCTGACTGACCCCCGTCTGCACTGACCCCCGTCTCGTGAGCCCCCACGACCTCGCTGTGGACCCACACCCGTGCCCAGCCGTGGCCAACAGGCGGGCGGAGGCAACGCTCGGGGCGGCGGCGGGGGCTGCCGTTCGGGTGCACCCCGACCCGCTGCAGCGCCTGGAGCTCGCACTGGAACCTCCGCCGCCGAGACCCCCCCCCCGCGACGCTGCGGCAGCCATGCAGGCGCGCGCTGGCCCCGAGGCGCTGGGCCTGCCCACGCTCCGCGAGCGATGCTGTGCGGGGGGGGGCATGCCTCAAGCGGGCCCGAGCCACAAGCACCCGCCCAGGGCGGGCATTCTTGAGTTCCGCCGCCTTCCGCCGACCTTCCGCCGGCGGAGCCGCCCCCTCGTTCTGCTTCCGCCACCCTCCGCCGCCCTTCTCCGCCGGCTTTCGCCGAGGAGTAGCTGGCAACCCCGTCGCTTCTCGAAGGTCGGGCGCTTTTTCTGGAGCGCCTCGCGCCTCCTCGCTGCCCCGCTCCCTCCCTGCCGCTGTGCCCCGCCCTCCCCCCCGTCGACCAGCCCTCCCCCGCGTGGGGGTCCAAGCCGGGGCACGGCGTGCTGGGGCTCGGGGCGGGCCCCACCCGAAAGTGCCGGAGGGGGCGCAGGGGTCGAGCAGGAGGAGGCGGGAGGGCGGAGGATCGGAGGGAGGGCGGCGAGGAGGGCGACGAGGAGGGCGACATGGAGGGCAATGAGACGAGGGCGACGAGGAGGGCGAGGACGAGGGTGACGAGGGCGAGGGCGAAGAAGAGGTGGAGCGAGGGTCTGGGCTGCGCGCGCTGCACGTCAGCTCACCGCTGTCTCACAAGAACATCCCCGCCCCCTGAATGGAAGTAGCGCTAATCCAAACACCGTTGAGAAGCAGTGCAATGGATGATCA